GTGAACGAAGGTGGGGATGAAAGAAAATACTTAAAAATGGCGATAAAGACAAGCTAAAAGGATATGTTTGCATTTCTAGCGCACCCACCCCATCCTCGCCTGGGCGACCAAACGTGAAAGAAACAGGGTAGTGCAACAGAGGCACGTCAAATCCTTTCACGCGCGAGTCGCCGTAAATGGTTCTCATGACTGCCGGGCGCATACCGAATGAGGCGTTCTCCGGGGTTGCGCCGAGGCACAGAGTGTGCGCTGCCGCCCGTGCGCTTTCACGCGATCCCTCATAGGATTGTGACATCTAACCTTGCTCGCCTTCGCCCCTTCTCGATTACGTTGAAGTCACTCTGTATACTATTTTCCGTAAGACATCTGGGTGTCACCATCTTGGGGTGTTAAGCAGATGTCTTTTTTTATGTATACTTCTACGAGGATTAAAAGGCTGTAAAAACATCGCATGCACTAAACTAACAAGTTTCATGCGTATGCGTCTACAGTAACACAGTTACTTAAGTCGTTCAAGATAACAGCCCAAAAATGGCGGCATTCACACCCATTCGAAAAACGGTCTATACAGTAAGCGACAATGGCGGATATATTCGTACTTTGAAGCTCTGAAGGAGATAACAGTTGCAAGTCAGGTACCGGTGATGATGCTTCGACGGCTGGAGTCACCAAGTTCATTATGGTGACCATGCACCGAGCCGCAGGATCGTGAGAGTCCAGTCAAGAAGGCAAGTTACCGCGGAATAATTATCGAGTAACTTCAGTTGCAGGAATAATGAGGCTTAAGTTGACTGCTAATGTGCCAAACAGGACACACTCGACCTACAAGTGAGCCACTGCAAATGGCCATAGGTCCGACATTCGAGACCCGAGACAGTCCTCCTACAGCAAATCACTTTCTGGGATATGCTATATCGACCAGCGAGAATTAATGCTTTCACACACTGACGCGCTATTAGGAAGCTCTAGAAATGGCATATACTAAAGAAAAAAAAAAAAACTCAAGCCCAGCTTGCGTTTTTTTTTTGTACTGATTTGCTTATTTTCGCATATTTTCTATAATTTTGGATGTGCTCACGGTCACCATCTGAAACCCTCTATTCCTACTTGGGGAGTGTTAACGCGAACGTCCACATGTGAGCTCAATCAGATCGTGCGGCGGAGTTTCAAGGGAGAGAATTCACGAAGTGCTACCATTGTCCGGGTACTTGAAACTGACCCTTTTTCAATCGATTCAATGGCGAGGCTTCCTTTGTTTTACAGTGAGAGTCGCTTTTCGAGTACCACCTCTAGGACCTGTCACGCGAACTTACGACGTCAGCCACCGTCACCGGTTTAGTGGCAGCGAGTACAGACGCAAAAATTTGCAACACAGGAAAAAAAAATCACAGCATATCCACGGAGTGAATGATGATTGGTGGGGCGCAGCGTTCGTCAGTCTGTCTGTCCATTCGTTCTTGCGTCCGCCTATCTGTGTGATCCTTGGTGCAGCCGTCCGCTTGTTCATTCGTCTGTCTCTCCGTCCATCTCTTTTTGCGGCCATCCCTCTGTCTGTCCATCCGTCCGCACGTGTGTCAGTCCGTTCGTCCGTCCGTATGTCTAGAGAAAACTTGAAGCACAGCCATCTCACATCTTTTCATCATGTATTCATCATATACAAGTGCCCCCATTCAGCAGACATTGTAAGGACTGCAATTTCGGGTATGTGCCACTGGTGGTTACGTACTACGAGGGACGCACAAGCCACGCCATAAGGAGCTTCGCCCCTAAAAAAAACAGAGATGTGAGAAGATATGTGGCCAAACCGGGGCCCACCCAAGCAGCCGTCGTCGCGCGCCCATCGAGTGAGCGCTCACGGATACCACCGGCTCGTGTGCTCCAACACTTCAACGAACGCGCGGAAGTGTCGAGAGGACGCGAGGCCGGAGGGGAGTTAACACGGACCACCGCCGCCGACTGGATGCGAGGGCAAAAACGCGCGCCCGCACACGTTTTACCAACGTCAGCCGCGCACGCGCCCCACTCACTGGGTGTGGGTTGAAACCAATGTCGCGCCGCTTTGGCACAGCTTGGCTTCTTCGCGCATGAACGCGCCTTTGGCGCAAATGCAGCCGCCGCCGCATTCCTTCGACTTGCGCGAGCAGAACGATACAGTGCACCCGGTCTCGCGTTTCTTGCTATTAGCGTTTTTTTTTTTTTAACTTTTCGTCCTTTCTTTTTCACGTAATGTTTGCGTGCATACGCGAATGTGGGCAAGCAGCAATGGGGTATTCGAGGTGCCCCGGTGTACGCTTTAGTTCGGTGCGGTGACTCGGCTCGAAGTGGCGCGTGGTCTCCTATCCCCCTTGAATAGCTGCCACAACAACACTTTGGGCGAGCGCGACACGGCACGAAGAAACACAAGACACGGCTTTCGTCGCCACCAATGAGCAGAAAAAAAGGGTGGGAAGGAGTCTGTTCACTAGGCGTAGTGGCCGCTTTCTTCTTAGCAGCCGTGGTGTTTCCTCTGCAATGCTTCAAGTGTCGCGCTTGGTCCGTTTTTTTTTTTATTTTGCTCTACGCGGTTTAGCCGAGGCTGTAAAGGCACAGCCGCGCAACGACGCGATGCCAACTTCTGCTTAGAACAGCATCGCCACGTCCACGCAAGCGCGAGCAGTTATAGCTGAATAGGAGGGGGCGCTGTGTGCTACAGGGAGGTAGGTGCGTGCTCCGACTTGGGTCGACTTTACTCTCTAGGCGCGAAGGTGGGAGATGGCTGACGCGAAGAGCGAGAAAAAAAAAAAAAAAGTGGTCGAGCGTGGCGAACAAACTATCCGGAAAGTTCTCTGCTTTTCGAAGCGAGTTGGCGTGCCGCAGTGAGAGAGCGAGCGAGCCCAGAAGCAACAGCCGTGAACGCGCTGTAGCCCTTTTCCTCCGCCTCGCTTCTTTTCCTTTCGTGCTATTCATCCGCTAGCTCTCCGTGACTCAGGACTATTCGACGCACGCGCTACTGCGAAGCGGAATTCCTGCCTCCGGTCATGTAAGCCGTACAAGGTAGAGATGTCGGGTAGTACTACGTTTACGCTACGCCAACGGCAATCGCTGCTGCGTGTAGCGCTTTTCTTCTTTTTTTTTTTTTTCTGCTGACGCCGCACTCTTTCAGCATGTAGCTGTTTCGTGCTTAGGTAAGCGCCAGCACTACACATATTGTTATAATGCATCGTCGACTACTGTCTCATACACTTTAAGAAAAAAGAAAGAGAGTCATCTAACTCTTTGTGAGTCAAGACTTGAAGTATATGACTATCTCTAAAGCACGTTGGCTCTCATTGCGCATCATTACAGTGTTTCCGTTGAGTTGTGGGACCCGAAATAGGGTGACGTGGCCCTTTAAAGAGAGTGACATATGTGGTAAGTCAGTACTTACCGAGAATATTAACACATACTCTATTTTTTTTCAATGAGAATAGCCCACCCAACTACAACAACAAATTAGGGTACAGTTTTTCATTCTTGTTTCACCTGTTTTAAAAGATTGACTTTTTGGAATATTGCTTCCGAGGTTTTTTTTTTTTTTAAAGGCGAATAATGACTGCCCCAAGTTTAATGACAGTTGCGAGATTAGATTGAATGAGTATAGCGCGGGTGATTTACGCACTTTTACGCAAATCTTGCATTTTTTTTTACTGTATGTAGGCCTACCATTACATAAACGTAAAGAACAATAGCTTTGAAGACACCAAGTGTCTTCAAAGCTATTGTATTATTCGGGGCTACGGTACTGTTACTACTATGGTATGGTACTAATGTGTACTGTTCGAGGCTATGGTGTTTTTTTTTATTATTTCTTTATCTTCATTATTATTTTTTACATCTACATAGGAACAATGACAGAATCACTTTTTGGTTTACAAGTTCGTTAAGGAAGACATGAATGTATTTATGCTTCCTCTCGGTAGAATCACTTGCACCGCTTTCAACACCGAATCATCTATATTGACAAAAGCCGTAATCTCCTTATCGAGCTGGCAACTGTTTCTGAAACAAGGGGTAATATTTTTTTAGTACAATCAAAATAAGTGTAGTTTTAACGTGGTAGTATGCACAATATAGATCGAGAGCCTCGTTTACTGAATATGCAACGCAACAAAATGGCACCGCATCCAAAAGTGCGAGCTGTACCTTTCAGGAGGAATTATATAACACTTGAAAAAAAGCAAGGAGTTACACACTTGAAAAAAAAAGCAAGGAGTTAATTATTTAAGGGCACCCGCCAAAGTGGTCTGGTGGCTAGTGCACCCTGCCGCTGACCCGCAGGTCGCGAGTCAGCGGCCGAAAATGCTTGAAACCCGTGTGCTTAAATTTAAGTGCGCGTTAAGGAACCCCAGGTGATTGAAATTTTGGGAACCCTCCACTACGGCGTCTCTTACAATCATACGGTGGTTTTAGGACGTTACACTCAAGCAATTATTAGAACCTCTTGACGAGTGCCGCAGTCTTAAGAGTACCAGCTTTTTTTCAACTTCCTGTGCTGCCCTCTGACGTTATAATACTGTTTCGGTAGGAACCGGGACAATCGGTATAGCCACGACGAAACCTTTTGAGATTGAAAGGCGTTTCGCGACTTTGCCACAAGAAGAAGGGAGCATGCGTCCAGGCATCGTAGGAAAAAGCGGATTAACGACAAATACGAGAGCAATTTTCACTCCGCTTCATATTGCTGGCTACGAGGCGACATGATGCTGTCGGCCTTGGCAAGAGTCACACTAATTAGTTGCGCAGTGAGCAAACTCGCGGAAAGTCTACAGATTAGACATTTTCGATAAATAATTTCTGAACGCTGCTAGCCTGTATAAACAATTAACGCTCCTGCCTTGGACGGCAGATTATCCCACACGAACTCTGTTCTGGAGGGGACACGTATCATCACAGCCGCAGAATCGATTCAGTAATGCACCAACAAGTGAAAATGGACCATGCTACATTCCTGAAGCATCCCATTCAAACGAACTACGGCTCACCTGAGGTAGTCCCTCTTGCAGAGTATAAGGTTCGCCTTTGTGAAGAGGGTGGAGCCGACTTCTCCGAGGCGGCAGTCGCAGCAGGCGCACTTGAGGCAGTCCTCGTGCCACAGCTGGTCCAACGCCTTGAGCAGGAACCGCTCGCGTATGGGCTTCTGGCAGCCCGCGCACTCGGGACCAGAGTGGTTCAGGGCGGCTGGAGTCATCATGGGCACGGGACCACTGCCGGGACCTGGTCCCAGCACGGGGCTCCGGTGTACTTCTGGGTTCCACCGGTGAACCTCTGCCTTGATGTCCATCATTGGTTCTGCAAAGCGGAGCGTGGCAAGACCAAGTTAAAGCACTGTGTAACGATAGGTTTAGGAAAATCGGTAGTATACAGATTGCCAGTTATAATAAAAAAGCACGTTCGGTCGGCTAGCTATTGATATGCTCTTCATTTTACTTGCCAAAGAAACAAAATATATGACCCGTTTTTCCGACGATGCTTAGCGCAATACAAAAACTAAGCTATATTACATGTACATTAAGCACAATTTCACCGCCTAAACCACGCTTTCCAGACATGTTGTCTATATACCCTCGTGTATGCCACGAAAAGTGATTATACGAGCACTTGGACACATTGTGTACGCAATGACACTCCCGTGCGACGAACTCGAACGGAAAGCATCACAAGAACTTTGTACCCGTTTCTTCACTGTCCTTGTTAAATGCGTAACCATTATACCTTTGCGAATGTTTTTTCTCCCGCCCCCATAAGAAATCGCTAACCATATCTCAGCCTCCACCTCTTTCAACTGCGGCGTGTGACCGGCCAGCAGTTCATCCAGACAGAAAGGGTCCATTTGCATCTCGTCGTGCGGGCACATAGTGAAGAGTGATATTGAAAGAAAAACACCGAGAAACTGGCCGAGAAAAAGAACCGAAGAAACGCCGTGCTGTCTTGGGACACTCGAAACATAAAACGAAGGCAGAAGATGTGTAAGAAGATCGGTGATCCCTCGTCTCGCTTCTCCGGCGAACAGAGGAGAACACGTCCCGAATGACTCAAAGCAGCTGCCCACTGCCATGGTCCCACGTTATGGAGAACGCAAAACGGCGACGGCTCTGGGACCCCCACGGTTTGTGCTCCCTCGCATAGAGGGCCCGGGAGGGAACCCGCTAATGAACCCCTGGACGGAGAGGCAACAGCTGCTTGCGGTAAGGGACATTCGACACGCTACGAAAAGAAAGGGGAGTGGCCCTGTGTAAGCAGGCACATGTGAAACGAGGCGAGATACGGTGCTCATTGCTTCGCGTTGAAGGAGGCACTGATGGTCACCAGCTACGCCTGTCTACGTGCGTGTCGACATGTGGGTGACTCCAATGGACACTGTGCAGGCAGGGTGAACGGAGCTTCGACAAGTCTGTGGTAGATTTTGGGGTTCTTATTTATACTTTGAGAAAAGCACTTTGCTGTAATGAGGCAGTACGCGTGCATACACGAGAAAGCGTTGTCTCCATCTTTGCACAGCTGTTATTCTTGCACGCTGCCTAATGTAAGGATCGAGGGTCTTAGTGTTTATGTTTACACAGCAGACACTTAACAGCCCAGTCTAGCTTTTAAGTGTAACAGTTCTACTTGAATTAAGCTCAGCCATTTGGGCCCTGTAAAGCATGTGGATAACGAATCAGAGGCTTCGTACTTGGCTCGCACACACCGTAACACGTTTGTGAATGAATTATTTTTTTTCTCTCTCTCTCTATCTATCTATCTATCTTTAACGGTATACCATCCTATCTGTGTCCAACATTACCTTTAATTCTCGATCCAAGCGCTGACGCCATGGTTAAAATGTGTGTTACTTAGTGTAACATTTACCACACTTTTCATCTCTCAAAAACTGATAATCACTTTTTTTTTCTGCTCCTTCAATTATGCAGTGGAAGGTGGGCTCATTTTGCGGTTAACCATACTGGTTGACTTACTATTTCGTTTCCTTAAAGATCTAGGTAGTGGCAATATATGTGAACGTTACGGAATTATGAATTAGTTATGGCACCTAGACATCTTCAAAAATAAAGATAACTCATTCTGCGATGCCATTTACATTTAAGCAACTGTCAACGCATGCATATGCGCACATGACGTTAGATAAACCAAAGTGAGGCATAAGAAGAGAAATAAATAAAACAAGCAGTTGCAACAAGCTTTAAAAGGTGACAACAAAATAAGTTCAGAAGTGCGTTCAAAGGGGCAGCATTTAGCTAGAAGTGGCCGAATATCGATGAGGTATTAAAATCAACTTCTGAGAAAACCAAGAAATAGATTGTCCAAGTTAAAGGTCCCGCACCTATGGTTCCATGGCGCTTAATATTTTTGCATAGCTAAACTTTTGACGTCAGCTCATGATTCAGGCGCAGTAATGGCCGACACCAATACCCATGCTAGAAGCACCTAGAAGTGTGGCATTTTGGGCTAGTTGGTATGACATGACGATGGTTATAGCGCGGGAACAGAACGACGACAACCATGTCCTTCTTGTCTCTTTGTCGTCGTTCTGTTCTCGCGCTATAACTAGCACGTTCGTCCCGTAATGTCTTTTTCCGTCCGTATCTTTTAGCGCTATGTATTTCGATAAGTTATCTCGTGTGAATGGAAACTGCGTGCTCATCAAGTGTGAGGCCCATGAGACGGTTTTATGCTCTCCCTTAGTAGAGTACCTGGTACTCTAAATTGTTACCTACTTTGTTTTCTAAGCACATCATAAAAAATACACTTTCGTAAAGATTGGCCACTCGAGCCTTTTCGCGGCCGAGCAAGGAAGGGTCTTAACAACCACTAGATGGCGTACCCAAACTCGCTTCTACTCTCTAGTCAACATATTTATTAGCTGCTTTAGGAGAACCATGAAAATTCAAATTTGGCATCAAATTTTTGTAAAAGAAAAAAAATTCATTGATCTGTGCAATTCTCCAAATTGGCTTTACATCGTGTCTCGCTTAGGACGTTTAATGCGTTACCACAAAAGTAAGTAAAGTTTTAGAAGTGTTGTCTTTCTGCATTTTTTTAATAAAAGGTACAGATTCCTGTGTTTAGATGTGCTGTACACGTATTGCCTTCGTGAAAGCATGTGGTGTGTAGCGTAGTGGTAAAGACGTTCACTTTCGGAGCATGAGGGTACGTGTTCAAATCTGAGCATACTTTTCTAGTTTTATTTATGCTGAAGACATTATCGGGTCTGGCCAGCCACTGGGGGTGTGGAAAGCAGCGCAATAACTCAGCCGCAGGACCCTATGAGAGTGTCCGCTCTTTACGTAAGTATGTTTCGTAGTATCCAAGGCGAGGAGGTTTAGCCTACTTCACCCTCCTTCCCGAAAATGTTCAATTTTGCGTGCATACACACACAAGCCAACATCTCCCTTCTTTCCCTGAAACGATTCTGGCTACGCCACTGTGTGCAAGTACCTCCCTACTGTAGTTGCTTACGCTTACTGCATGCCTAAACCGACAACGCCAGGCCTTACAGCATAAATCAGTGATGGAAATTTTTGATCAACTATACTGTATGCATTGGCATTGCGGGGACTAGAGGTTTAACTCTCCCATTTCTTCTTGCCGAACCTTTTCGATTTTGCATGTGTGCACGCGCATGTGCAAACACACTCACGAACATGCAAAAGAGTTGGTTTAACTCCCCCCTCCCCCCTCAACCACTCTCGAAAAAAAAATTTCGGCTTAGCCACTGCACGTAAGTACCTCCGTACTGTAGTTGGTTATGCTTAGGGTATGTCTGAACTAACAACGTCAGGCCTTGCGCATAAGCCTGTAAAAGAAACTTCAAAAAAAAATTCTAGTCCTTTTCGCAGCACGCGAGTGGACAACAGCGAGCTTATGCTATGGCTCACCAAAGGGCGAATATGTCAGGGCCGGCGGCTCGTCAGCGTAAGAGAAAAGCGAAGCAGGCGACATGCTGGGCGGGCAAAAGCTCAAGCCTGGAGGCTCAGTCGCGGCTTTCTCGACGAGCCCGCCGGGCCACGGGTGAGCGTCACGTCGCGGCACGCCCTGTAGCTGCAGTTGGGGCCGACCCAGGATTTCCAGGCGGTCGCCACTCGCACTGCCGCGAAGAAACATGAGAACGGCGTTTTGGTCTCGGCAAAGCGAGCGAGGAGGGTGCAACAACGCAGCTGAAGACGTGGCGCGCCCTTCTTTTCAACGGCACGAAAAACGGACAGGGCCGCTCAGTCTGTCCGCGTGTGGCTGGTTTTCCGTAGCGCAAGTCATGGCTCCCTTGCGAAGTCTCACCACACAACACGCACGAGGTCTCATCACACAACGCAACCGTGGCAGGCCCCGGTTCGTTTTGCAGGACCCGCGAGTTTCGGACGTCTTCTCTTTCTCGTCTCACTTACAAGGGGGGGGGGGAAACACTGCTTCACACGCGCACCCACACCGAACTGCCTGGCGCACCGCGGTGCCACCAGATCGAAAGGCTTCACCGCAGTAACCCAGAGAACTGCAGCCTCCGTAGCTTCCTCGTCGTGCCAGTAGCCGTCTTGTCTCCCGTCGTTTTTAGTTGCCGGCTCGAGACCACGGCGTGGTGAGTGTCCCGCTGTCCACAGCTTGCGATGAAGAAGAAGAAGGGTTGCCGCCGATGCGTAGCCACGCAGTGTGTGCGAGCGTGTCTCTTCTTTCCTTCGGCGGACAGTTGTTTTTCGAAGCTTGTATCTCTCTCTCTTCTTCGTAGGTCGGCGACTCGTCTCTGCGTGTTGTCTTTATGCGAAGCTGCGCCGTGCCACAGCTGCCAAGGAACGTATAGGCCGCGGAGAGAAAAAAATAATAGTAATAAAGAGGCGCCGTCGGCGCGCAGCCGCCGCCTGTTATTGTGCTGATCGGCTTAGAATTTCCGCGGCCGCAGCATCTGTCGCTTTGTCTTAACAAAAGCAACGCCCGCGTCGGCGTGCTGAAAAATGGCGCGATCTTTTCCCCGCGTGATTGGAGAACGGGGTGGGTTATTAAAGTGGTCAAAATGCTAGAGAGGACCGCCCTCGGGGACACCGAGGGCGCGGTATTCAACAGGTGGTCAAGAGAAATGCGCAGACGTTGAGCGCGTCGCATATAGGTTCAAGACAACAAAGTCGGGGTACTAATAAGGGTGAGGTAAATGACAGCAGATGCGAAGCAAACGGTCAAGCATTCGTCGTCTTGTCGAGCGGTGCTCTGTCCAACGCTCTTCTCACACGTGCCACTTCCAATGGACAGATGCGTGCGCTTTGCTCGAAATAACATGAGGCAAATTACTATATTTATTCTTCCTGTAATCTCACATTCAAACGTATCCGTGCATTCCACACGGGCTACCATAAATATCATACCGTGAAATATCAAAATTGAGGCTTTCTTTTGGACACGTCGATCTCGCTAACTGGTTTGGACAAAATAAATAAATACTAATAGCTTTGTTGTACGATCACAAACCCCCTTTTGATCATGCTGTAAGCCATGGTATTGGACTACGGATGAAATTCGACGTCCTGCAGTTATTTAACGTGCGTCTGAATAAGGGGTGCTATTCGCTTTTCTTCCTTCGTATTGCGATTCGTGATTCATAATCGGACCCTGGACCTCGCGTTTTGCGGAGCAACCTCATAGCTGTTAAACTATATACCACGGCGCTTATCAAAGTGAAAGCCGCGGCGATATTTTGCACCTCATGATATCGGCCCACCGCTCCGCCCCCTCGCTCCGCCACCTCCGACGGTATTAGTTCATCTGGCCTACTTTTATTTTCCAATCAATAGTTGTTTTCACGCGAAAAGCACAGCCTGGGTCGGTGGCACGAAAAGGAAGCTGCAGCGCCAGCATAGATTAAAGGGGTCGAGAAAAGGGCGCTTTACAACGACAATCCGGTACCATCAGCAGCCACAAGCGCTTAACTATTCCAACACACGGCCGAACTAGAGGAGCGTCACGCGCGCACTCTGCACGTACCGCTCAGTCCAGCCGTGGTCACCAGCCCGAGTGGACCTGCATAGACGCTTTGCCTATCAAGAAACGTTGAACTCTACGGCGTCTGCGAAGGCGCCGTGGAGCGCGTGCAAGAGGCGCTCATCGGCGTCTGCCATACACAATCCGCGTCCCACAAGAACGCTGCTTAATATGACGTCAGCTGCAGAGTTCAAGTAAACGCCTGTGGCGTATGGCAAAGACGCTGATGGGTGTCCCAATCGTACGCGACTCGCTCGCTGGATTTCGTGCCGACCGGTTCTGCCTCCGCGATCTCCGAAGACAGCGCAGCTCTGGCCGACTGGGCTCGCCCTACGCCATTTCCTGACGCCGACTAGAGTTCTCGCCGAGTGGTGCCCCGTTCTCGGACTCCTGCGACCGTGTCCATCTTTGGTATCTTCTCCTTACTTCCCTATGTGGCTGTCCCTGCGCCTCGCTCTCTCCTTCCGCGCTCTCCATATATACATTTTAAACCTATCATTTTAATCCCGCCTTTGCCCCCCCCCCCTCGTGAGCTAATGTTGAGGTGTTTCCCCCCGAGAGACAGTCACGGGGCTCATTTTTCTTTTCATTTAAAATCACTTCCCCAATTGTGGGCACTCGCAAGTGCCGAAGAGTTCGCGTTGCTCGATGGGCAAAGCATTACTTACGTTGGCGTCACCTAGTTAGTGCGGGTGGACACCAGTGGTATCGCATTGTCGTTTTAGAGCGAGCGTTTCACGACCCCTTTAAGGGAGTCGCACCGAATACCATCAATCTTCTTGAAAGCGTCGCTCAAGAAAGGCCTGCGGGAAAGAAGCAGTGTCGGAAATATAAAGAAAGAAGAAATAAAATGAAAAAGAAACTAAGTGAAAGAGAGCACAAGTAAAAGAGAGTTAGTGGCAGAGCACGCGGTGAGACAGGAGGTTGCTTCGAAACAAAACGGGGGAGCGGCAGAACGCGTGGGTGTCAGCTCAGCGACCGAGTTCACCGCAGAGTTGCACACATGTAGGCAGCCAACCGCGCGCTCCTCGGGCGCTTTTAGTGGGACATGAGACCCGAATGCGTTCGCTGGCGTCGAGTGAGAACGGCAGCCGCGTTCTGCCGCAGACGAGACCGTCAGGCGTTGTAGCGACGAGAGCAAAGCAGGCCACGAACCGCTGCCAGCTACCGCGTGTCGTTAGTGACCCCACAGAGTCGGTGACGCCAGGGCTGCGGCTGACCTTCTCTGTTTAACGTATATGCGCACACAACTGCGACCACCGTGCAACGTTCATACGAGGCTTGCTTGTCCGCAATGTATGTTTTTTTTCTAAACTATGATTTGTGAATGCCACACAAAAGCCTCAGCTCGAGAGACTGTTCGGATGCAAGCGTCAGTGACAACTCATCCAAGTTTCATCGCTTTCGCCATTTTACAGCGACGCTGTTTTAGTCTACCAGATGCCGCCATCGTCATCGTAGTAGTAGTAGTAATAGTAATAGTATTGTAGTAGTGATAGTAGTAGTGTCTGCAGTAGTAGTAGTAGTAGTAGTAGTAGTAGTAGTAGCAGTAGTAGTAGCAGTAGTAGTAATCGTCTCACTGGTCACATGAGTGTGGGACGAGTGAACCAAGAAATAAATGAAACGAAACAATGACGCAAATATGGTGATGCCAGCCAATCACATACACCCACGTGCTATAGACTGTTTCACTACGCGACGGTATTTGTTGCTGTTTTCCTTTGAGCATAGCGACTGTTTTCACGGTGATGAAGTGGATGGATCTTTCTTTCCTCCTCTTCTGAGCGCTCGTAAAATATACAGGTGCGATCAGCTGGTTTAACCTGGTGGCCCGCCCTCTCATGTATCTTTCAGTAGGGCTCTTGCAAACAATATGGCTTCGACATCACCGGAAAATGAGTAATTGCACTACAGATGGCTGGTTCAGTGTATCTGTACCAGCCTCCTAACATCCCGTTTAGAAAACAACGAAAAAACCAACCATCGTCATGAGCAAGCCAGCGGTAAAGTTTACAAACATTGTTTAGCATAAAGATTGTTGTGCAAAGCGACATGCCTGTTCTATCAGACTGATGACACTGTATGACCATGGTGTATTGAATTGCGGGCGCCACAAGATTATAAATGAGTCTTGTATTTCTGTGCGTACGCTGTCTTATCCCTCTTCCGATGAACAGCAAGCTCAGTATAACTAACTTTTTTGAAGCTCGATATAGCAATCAAAAAGGTCGTGCGTACATTCGTCTAAATGTGACGCCAGTACATCGTGACGGAAACGTTGTCGCGACATGCTCAGTGCGTAAATAACATTTAATTCGGGAAATGTGAACTACACCTGACTGTCTTCATTGTTATCAAAAGCGAAAGGTCTACTTTTTGTTTGCACTGATTTTAATGGGTGCCTGTTAAAGGTGCGTAAAAGATATTCCACAGAGAAGTGTGGTAGCTTGGGCTAGTTGTATGACATGACGATAGTCATGCTGTTTTCGTTCTGTTCTCGTGTTATAACTATCATCATGTCCACACAGAAGCTACAGAGCCCAGCCGCAGCCAGTAGGGGGACTAGATATAGCGTAAAAAAGTATAGTAGATTAATTGTGTGTGGATGTGTATGTGTGTGAAGTGAGAGGGGGGCTCGACTGTGCTTGCCGCCAACCAGCACAATAGAGCCATGGTGAAGCTTGCACCAACGATAAAGGAAAAGTAAAACGACAGTAAAGATGCCACTTGCCTAATTCAATAACAGTGTGAAACTGGTTCCCGCTAAACCAGTAGATCCTCGAAGCGATTCCCTATGCGCAATACTCGCGACACCTGTGAAGTGCCATCTCTTATGCCATCGTCTCTCTATACCGTGACGCCTTTATTCATACATAGAACTATAGCTTCTCTGACAAATGACACTACGTATATACTCTACAGGCTCTGTAAAGCTCTTTCCTTTAACATGTCATTCTTCGCTTGGATACTTTGGATGCTGGAACATTTCTTTCGAGAAAGAAAGTGGAGGATGGGGAAGGAAGACTCGAAGCCGAGCGATGTGCCATGTTTTACCCATTGTTTTCGCCCTTACGCAGTGCTTTCGATTGGAAGCGTGTGATTTGAACAATACGACGACAGAGATGAAGCTGGTCGCATTCTTAGGCTTGTCTCAGAATAGCAACCTATAGCGATATACTTAGAGCTCGGCTGTGTAGTTATACGAGGTGTAACACCGCTTTCTATGTAAGACGCTCGAGCATGAACAAAAAAAAACATCTTTCTTTTTTTCATTCTGTGCACAAACGAAATTTAATATGAGAAAGAACAAAGGCTTAGAATGACAAGATTTTATAGATTCATTGGAGCACAACGTTAAGACCTTCTCTATGTCATTTCTTTTGCGTGCGCGCCCGCATGCCAAACTTTTCTTACAACAAGAAAGAGTACGATGTGTTATAAAATGCGTATAAAATACAACAAGAAAGCACCGTAAACTAGTATTTTGAACCTGTGTTAACGTAGGCATAATAAAGTGAATGGAGTGCCACATAAACAGCAAGGTAATGTTTAATCATTGGGAATTCCCGGAACGTCACAAACTGCAAACTTTTTCAGAGTATACGGTTCACCTGCGATTGTCTTGGATGAAGTAGACTACAAAAAACGTTAATGAAGGCTGGCAAGAACTGACTTCAAGTACCCACAAATTTCAGCGTGCTTCAACTTAATGGGGCTGCCATTCTGTTGAGGAGTAAGTATGCGTATCATCCCCATCAATAACCCCAGCACGGT